AAGACGAGTGCGCTGATGGTCAGTGCTCATCGACCCATCGGTAACCACAACCTGGTTATATCCTTCCTCCTACTCTAGATAACTTCATCACTAACTTTCGGTCCCCTTCGTTCGTATACGTTCTGGTTACCACTAGCAATGCGCTTGGTACCACAAAGGAAAGTCTTAGGTTTCACTCACATGCATCGGAACCCAAGCGATTTGTGCACCATTTCCACTGACGCTTCCGTGGCCGTCACACACACGTCAGTCTTATCACAGGTTTCACGATATATGAACGGGCATGACCCACAGTCTGAAATAAATGTACAGGACATCATGACTTTTCAATTTTTGCTGCGCTCATACGGCGAAAATCCCAATCAGTGATCAATAAAATTGTTAGCTGATACCGTATTCCCTTTGATTACAATGAATAAGTACATCCATCAAGTCTTACGCGTTGAATTCCTTAGATTTTAAAAGAGTGAGGGGGGTTATTTGGTGCGAATGCCATAAGTAAGAGGATAAGGCACACGAAGTTGTAGCAGTGGGTGCGAGCTTAGAGAGAAAGATCCAAGATTCAGCGGAATAATCACTACTTGCACTGGGAATGAAACTAGACTCTATTCTCTGACAATGAGTGAAGAAGGTTTAGTCAGCACAACGTACCAGTTCCTTGATCGACGTCATCGGAGGAAATGGATGCGGCACGCTCTGAAAATAGTGAACTAAATCAAATGAGAAGAATGAACCGGAGAAGTGTTCCAGCGATTTTCAACCGATTTCGGCGTGCGCCATGCTTTATTGCTATTCAGAATCTCGGTGCACTCTGAATGAATAGTCTTGTTCGCTGCGGATGTTGATGGGGTGTGTTAGTGATGCGGGAATTTCCGTGCCACCATTCCGTTCTCCACCAGTTGTTTAAACTGCTAAACGACAAGAACTGGTGGGAAACAAGTGATGCGAACGGTATGGTTTCTTACTGCGGAGAATAAAGGGAGCTGACGTCGTGCCAAACCACTTTCTCTATCACCCGCCATTTGATATTTTCCAAATGATTTAGGTTTGGGGGCAGTACTAGAGAAACTTGTCACGAACATGTTCCACTGATTGATGCACTAAAGATTTCCTGTTTTGAAGGAAGCAGTATAAGTGGGCCACCCTGTTAGGAAAAAGTAAATCTTCGCTTTCGATCAGTCTCTTCTTGAAATGCGACAGCATTCTAGTTCTTTTCAGAAGTCGCAGTGGCTTACTGAATGCGACGTGGCCTGTACAACGAGTTGCGGAGCCCAGCTGATGTACAAGTCAATGTTCATATCCTCTCGGGCGATTATGTACCAATTTACTATTCCCGAAAAGAAGAAGGCTCGCTTGGCCCAGGCAGAGGCCGATCCGGACCGCGGCCATTTTAAGTGTGCCACTTACCACTACACCAAGACCGTCCCAAGGGCCAATTATGAAATGATAAGCCCTAGGAAACGAACTTTTTCGCCCTACGGCGGGGGAAGTAGTTGTGGAGGCTGTTGAAACCGTAGTTGTTGTTGTAGTGGTTGTCGTAGTAGTCGTAGTAGTTGTTGGAGTAGTAGTTGTGGTTGTTGTGGTTGCTGCAAATGACACTTTACTGAAATCTTGACACCTCCCACCCCTACGAAGTAAGGGGGTAACCTCCAATGACACCCTGGAGACGAGTGTCGATGAGATGTAGCTATTTCACTGGGAAATTATAATTTCCTCTACTCAACTGGGTCATCACATTGCTGATGATTGGCTGCGATCGGAACCCTATTCCGCACTCTCTTTGTCCACAGCCCTGTTGACCAGTGACTACTCTGAACACGCCCCGCCCCCTTTCAGCTAGTCTTATAAGGCCTCCTTTGAGGACTCCTGAACAGATACTTGAGCCTGCACTGAAGTGTTTACCACCCACACCCCTCCCCCTTCCACCCCCCTTCCTCCACCTCGCCCTATCCGCTGAGAACGAAGGATAATCGACTCACTTGTTTCTGGACTAGTCGTTGCTATGCACTGAAATGATTTCCTCAGATAGACTAGTATAAGAATGACTCACAACTGTTATTCTCAAAATATCTGTAGACAGAGGCAATTTGAAAAGAGATAGCGACAGTTCAAAAGGGAGGGATAAGGAGCCGCGAAATTAACAGGCTGTGGTCAGTGGCCTCAAAACTAATGTTAGAGAAAGCCGTCATCCCTTTCTAGTGTTTTCGACGTCATTTCGTCAATAAACCTCTTTGTTCAGGTCATTCGAAGAAGCGAAAAGCTGCCAATTTTTAGTTAGACCACTTGCTGTTGCAGCGGGACATTTTCCGGGAGAATCATCTGACGTAGTTCGCCTTTGCACAGCGTTCAAAGGACTGTGACATAGACCGAAGAAAAAAAAAGTATTTTATTAAGCCGAGTACCATTGATGACAACAGTCACTTCACTGCAAGTTTAAATCTCTAAATGGATTGGTGGGCAAGTAATCGAAGTCAAAACTCGCGGTACACTTTGAGTTTGAAGGTATATCCACGCCAATAATGCTGAACATTTTGTTTATGAACTGTTGTCGATTCGAAGCAAGACATTTCTGAATTCCGTCAAAGTCGAACTTGGTTAAGGAGCTGATTTCGGTTTTTTATGGATGAGAAAAGAATTTCGGTTTTTATTATGGATGAGGAACGAATTTCAGTTTTTTTTATTCAAAATTGTTGAAAAACTGAGGCGAATTGGGCTACGGCTTCCTAATCACCCACACAATTCTTCTCCTTGAGATGAAGTAGGAGTCCGAAAATGTAGAATGGGCTGCGACAGAGACAAAGACCAGAATTATGGAAATATCTCTGCAAAAGCACAGCCGCAGGTGCATTTAGTTAAAGTACGCAATCACGTCTACTGCATCTCAGGGATTTCGAGTATAACGCACAGGATCTTCCTCCAGCGGATTAACTAGCACTCGGATTTGTTCGGACAAACAGCATCATCACGTCGCCGAAAATGGCCCGACCAGTACGACGCCTCGTCAAGAAGTGCTTTACACACGACCCTTCTTCCCTACCTTCAGGTCTGTATGCGACATACCCTTGACTCTTGCTTACGGTCTTTCCTCGAAAGACAAACTCTACATTCATCTCCTAGTCTTTGCTGAGTGTGGTGAGAACGCAGTTGTACCTGAAGTATAGCGCTACTTTCTCTGATCAAAAGCGGTAACAGGACGGGAGGTAGTAATACCCTGTGCTCTCCATAGCCCGCCGGCACTGCCACACTGCCAACCATACGCTAACGTTCCCCACACTTGTCTGCACCCTCTCACTTTTGATTATTCTCTATTGTGTGCGGGTATAGCTGCGATACCTTGGTATCAACGCAAGCGCAGGGGACAGCATGGCATGCGCGGGCCTCAAACATGATGATGACCGTCCGTGCAGGTGAGTGTACAGTTTGCCTCTAGGGGCATGCAACTTGGCAGCGCTGCTGAATTCCATCAAGAAGCAAGTTGAACTCGAGCTAACCCATCAGAGTGAAAACGTTTGCAAAATTCTAAGAGGCGGTGAAGAGATGTCCGGCCAATCTCATACCCTATCCTACCCTCCCCTGGGGGTGCGGTACTGACGCTGGCCACCCCACACATAGCGATTACTGACGCTGACCACTCCACACATCGCGAATATGTGCTCTGAGTGGAAGGCCTGAGTACGTCTGTATGACGCGTGTACTGTACCGTCAAAACTGAGTGGACGAACTCAATCGTAGTGTAATTATTCAACATTGTAGAAAAATCCTAAATCTGAATCAATGCGGTAGTCATTCTAAAATTTGGAGACAAGTGGAGTTTTTGCGGAAAAACAGAGAAGCTACGGGCAAGGATCTCTGCATTGACTGGAAGCTAGCTGGAAGCTAGTACCTTCACCTAAGTTGTGCAAAAGTGGGTTAAAAACTGGACATGGCCGTGGAAGAAAATATCGAGAAATTGAAAAGAATCCTGAGTGGTCGAAATTAGCGCTAGACTCTTGAAACGGGCACCACGCAAGGAAAGTTTGCTACTTACAGTGATTTAGATTTGCATCAGTAGTTGCATAGAATGCCGTTTTCGAGACATAAGAATAAGAATCATAGCAGCACTCTGAAGAAGGAACAACAAAGAAAAGAGTTTCAGCAGGGCGGGGCCCCATAATGTTGATCCTGCGCAAGAAAAGCGGGTGGGTGAAGTCGAGCGCCGAATGTCTGATCACAGCCCTTGTCGAGCTTGCCCGCGTGATAGGCATTCCGGCTGCAATTGTTTGCCGTGTTATGCCTGAAAAATTGGGAATTGTTTAGAGGGTGTGT